AAACTTCCAGTTGATGATTTAGTACAAAATACTTCTCTCTACTGAATATTCTACCCAGCACTTCAGAACTGCAGTTCTCAGTTGCTAATGAGAATGTTTAATACCTTTGGCAATTCCTCGAAGCCATCCAGTAGATCTAGAAGTGGATCTAGAAGCTACAATTTATTGCATGAAGAACCACTGCCAACTCCATGGTGCAGTTTATGGCTTCAAGCAGGAGCTCATCTGCTGAGGGTTGAAGACGTTTTCAAAGTCAGGACTAGAAGTATCTTGCAGATTTTTGAATCCAGCTTTTTCTTGTTTTTTAGTGTTTATGGATAAAATTGTAACAGTTTATTCCCAAGACTATCCTGCAAATGCCTTACCTTCTGTTTTTTTTTTTAATTGTAATTACCATTTTTTTCCATTTTGCATACAAGCACTCTTTCAACTAATGCCTGAATCTTTCTAAACGTGATATAAAAAGGAAATATGAAAGTTAAATAGAAGCTGTAAGCTGCGTTTTAGAGGTAATATAAACACACTTGGGTGTTTTACAGCCATCAGTATTATCTCCTTTGATGCCTGAGGCTTGTCCCTAGGAGACAGAAAGCAGACACTTCCTGGAATTTCTCTAATTAGCTTGTTCATTTCACTTAATAAAACAAGCAGTCAAAAACATTATGTGTTTCATATGCAGGACTCTTAAAAAATAAGAGAACATACCATTCTACATATATCTGAGCAAGTACAAGCAATTATGGAGTTTTCTAGGATCTTATAAACATAATGAATAGCTGGTCTTGCATTATATATATCTGCTGATAAGACCCACTAGTGAGCATACATAGAGCAATAAGAAAGCTCACATAGAATAGCTCATAGAATGGCTTGGGTTGGAAGGGACCTGAAGGATCACATCAAGTTCCAATTCCCCCACCACAGGTAGGATTCCAACCTTCAGATCTGGTACCTAGGGTAGCTAGGGTAGCAGGTTGCCTAGGGCCCCATCCAGCCTGGTCTTGAACACCTCCAGGGATGGAGGCATCCACAGCCTCTCAGGCAGCCTGTTCTAGCACTTCACATCTGTGAAGAATTTCCCCTGACATTAAATCTAAACTTTCTCTCTTGAGCTTAAAAGCATTCCCCCTTGTCCTATCACTGTCTACTTTTGTAAAAACTTGATTCTCCTCCTTTTTGTAATCCTCTTTTAAATACTGGAAGGCTGCAATGAGGTTTCCTTGCAGCTTCTCTTCTGGCTGAACAAGCCTTCAGCCTGTCTTTGTGGGGAGGTGCTCCATAGAGTCCGTTGCTAGAGTATATTCTGACCAGCTGCAAATAATAATATTCTTTTGCAGCTCTAAGTAGTTTGGTTTCTTCCCATGCTTGTGCCACTTGCTCTCAGTGTCTCATGGAAGCTGCTGTGAGAGGAAGCTCCATGGCTCACATTGCACATCTTTTTGGGCTCCAAGCTCATACCCTCATGTAGATCATGATGTAATGGGAGGCAAGTTTTGGTCAATTGTGGTCAAATCTAGCAATTTATATGATGACTATTATCTTTAATAATTAAAAACTTGTATAGCTTTTCCTTTCATTTTCCAATCTTTTTCCAGCTCCTGCTCTTAGAAAAGCAGAATTAGAAGAATTTCCTCTGTGGAGCTGCATTGGAAGTACTTTTAAATTCATGTTTGAAAGCATTAGAGGAGTTTTGATGATGTTAATTGAATAAAGGGGCCAAAAACTAAAGAGACCATTTTAGGATTCTGCATCATGAATTCCCATGTGTAACAATCATCTTTAATCTCACTGCTATGCTGCTCTTAAATCAAAGGGATTAAAGGTGAAAGCTAGGAAAAGATGGAAATTGAGTGGTTCTTGGCATGCAAGTGACCTCTGAACTGAAAGACAGAGAAGAATCACTTACTTGGGAAGGTGAAAATAGCCACCCAATGCAGAGCAAAAGGAGTTGTTCCATTACAGCCAGCCCTGTGCCTTGAGTGCTGCGTGCATCGTTGGTGTTGAAGCAAAGTTGGGGCAAAGGTGAGCACTGTAACTTGCTGCTGTTGTCATCTGTTGCGTGGGAAAAGCTGGCTGTGAAATGTAATTTGGGTATGTTTTCTTTTTAATGGAAATTACATCAAAGCTTAAGATATTTTTTCCAAGACCCACAGATAGTATTTACTATATACCATCTATAGTTCATGATGTAATTCTCATCACATTTATGCAAATGCCTTGGCTCCATTAAGTGGGAGCCGTAATGTGAAAGCCCTGAAGAAGTGTCTGGGAAAGGGCTCTGCTCAGGTGGCATAGAGGAGAATGAGCTTTTTTCTTTGATGCCATCAAAGTCCAAAACAGCCTTATGCCATCAATCTAAATGGAGCAAATTGCTTAGATGTGATTCGCTTATTTTGACAGTTTAAAAAAAAAAAAAAGATTTTACTGCCATGGAAATCCCCAGACTAGCACTGGTGCAAGCAACATGCTGATTATGCCCGGTTTGCAAAGGTCACTGATTGCTGCTGTACTTGATGCAGGCCTCCTGCCTCCCTCTGTGCCTGTGCAGAGCCAGGTAATATTACTTTAAGTGACTTGGCCATTGGTAATGAAGAGTATTGGAAAGATAAGTTCAAATGACAGTTCTCTCATCAAAGCAAGAAACATTCAAAATACTGGTAGCATGCAGTGACGCTTCTGTATTTGTGGTAGACTTGCTGTTATGTTGAAGTAGCTGCGCTTACTAAATGTTAATTTTAACTAGAAAGCTTAAGAAAGCTCAGCAGTCAGTGTTCCAACTTTTTATTGATGACTTGTAAATTATGTAGAACCACTGAGCAAGTAGTAGAAACCTGCCTTGCCTTTTCCAGGGAGGAAACACTGCACTGCAGAGGAGAGGAGCCGTGGAGGCACTGGTAACTCAGCCACTACCAGTTATGTGTTAGGCTTCTGCTGTGCTGCCCTCCTGCTGCCAAGGGGCAGCTGTCTTGAGATGCTACCCCTATTCATCAGGTAACATTTCACCATGCCTTCACTTTTAGTATTCCCCATTAAAAAGGGACAGCTTTACTTTATGTTTATTTTCCTTCACATAATATTGGATTTACAAGCTGGAAACCTTTCTTTACAGTTGGGTATAAATCTTTGTAAATGTCAGTAATTAATTTTAAAATCTCATTTATCAATATATAATGAGTGAATTAGTTCAGGTTTGAAGAATAAATGTCTTGTAATTAGGCACAATTTTGCATCAGGCCCTCAGACTTCAGATGGATCAATGCAGGACAGCAGTGGGTAGCAGGCTTTTCCCTGTGCCCACGTCAGAAGCGAGAGGCACAGGGGTAAGGGCCACAGTGGAGAGGTAGATGCTGGCAGCCAGCCCTAAATCCCAGTAAGGAAATTTAAGGCAGAGAATGAAGCAGTGGTAATTGCCTCTGGAATGTTAAGAGCTCTGAGGCTGAGGGGAGGAGGTGAGAAAGCAGCTGAAGGACAAAGAGCGGAGTGGAAAATAGCATCCTGTACCTGCATTGCTCTTCCAGAGTACAGCCTCAGTGCACCCTGAATGTTCCCACCAGGCAACAAGTGTAACTGTGCTTCTGCTACAGAGCGTGGTGCCAACAAACCACTTCTTAAAAGGGGGAGCTTCAAGAAAAACTACATACCAAGATCATCCTTGCTTCCCTGTGAAGCAATGGCGAGGTGCCTCAGTAGTGCTCACTACGGAAATTCCTAGAATTGTTGCTAAGACATCATTGCCAGTGCTCTGAGGTGTGCTGGCTCCACAAGGTATTATGTAAGTGTAAGATACTGTTGCTACATGGAAAAGGCCATGATGATTCTAGGCCTGCTCAACAAGCAAGGTGTGGGAGAAGACACCTTTGCTTTAGAGAACACAGGGCTGCTTGGGTGCTTTTTCGTCCTGATCTGTGCCTCTGATTTCTTCCTGATGTGTCAAAGTGTTACTTTCTGTGGACAAGAAAACACTTGTAATATAAACAAGTAGTTAGATAAAGATGTTGGTGTAGCAGCAGAGAAAAAATTGACTGTGTAATTCAAGGAAATCTGAGGGGAAATTGACATTAAATCTCAGGAAATGTAAGAAAAGAAGTCTGTGTGAAGATCCACCTCCTTTCAAAAAGCAAAGCAAAGACCACGTCATGTAGGCAAAACGGGGATGAGGTTTGTTGTTGCTTCTCCCAACCCATTTTTGAGCTCTTTAAGTCTCATTTTAGCCCTGCAATCAGTGTGTTATTGCACAGCAGTCCCGCTGCTCTACAAACTTCCACACTTCATACGTGCAAAATAAAAACGTTCGGTGAAATCAGGTCCACCGTGCTACACTTGCTCCGTTTTCCTTCTTCCCAAGTGCCAGGACTATTGTTTCATGCGAAGCCATCAAGTCACCCAGCCGTGTGTGTGCTAAGTAACCCCTGTCCGTAAGCATTTGTTCCCAGGGTAGGAATGCAAGCGCCGGCAGCGAGTTCGGCACGATGCTCTCCTTTCACCTGAAGGATTTCACTGCCGTTTACGGTGCCAGCTGGCGGCCGCCGGGTTGGAACTTCTCGTACCCGGGGAGTTCTCAGGAGGTCCGCAGGGGCCGCGAGGAGAACGCTCCGTCGCGCAGCGAGCCCTCCCTGCTCTAAACGCAGCGCTTTGTCCCAGGATTGCTCCGCCCGGTACCCGCAGCTCCTCGGGGCCGCAGCAGCCCGGGGCTCCGCACCTGCCGCCCGGCCCCGGCGCTTCTTTGTGCCTCGGCGGCGGGGCGGCCGCGTTGCCATGGGAACGGCCCCGCCGGCTGCGGCAGGAGGGCGGGAGGCGGGTCGTGTGGCGGCGCAAGATGGCTCCCCGAGGCGGCGGGCCGCACTGAGAGCGCGGGCGGACGGCAGGGAGGGCGGGAGGAGCCGGAGCGGGGTCGCGCCCGGCCCAGGCGGCCCCTCGCGGCCCTCATCCCCTTCCTCTCGGTCTCAGCCGGCAGCTCCGCGGCCGCGGGCGTTGCAGACGCGCCCTGCCGCCGCCGCGAAGCGCCGCCGCGCCAATGCCGGCCCCGCTGCGGCCGGCCAGCCCCCGCCTGTGCCATGGCTCTGACCTTGTTCGGTGAGTAGCGGCCCGCGCCCATTGTCTGCGGCGCGGCGCGTCGGGGCGGGGCCGGGAGGGGCGGGGGCCTCGGGCAGGGCGCAGGCACGGCGGCGGGAAAAGTTGCGCCGGGCGGAGAGCGGAACCGGGATGCGCGGGGCGGCGGGCTGGGCGTGCAGGCAGGGCTGCGGGGATGGGCTGGGCTCTGTGTGCTCGAGGCACTCTGGAGGGAAAACGGGAGAGCCGTGGTTTGGCTGTTAAGCGCGGGGTTTCTCTGATTAAGCGCGGTATTAATTTCTCGGTTAAAACGCTGCCCAAAGGCGCGTTACTGGAAGCCACGAGGCGAGCAGAGCGGCGGCGCCGCGGGCGGCACGGGAGGAGCACGGGGCGGCACGGCCGGGCGCCGCTCCTGCGGCGGGCGTCGCTTCTGCGGGAGAGAGCGGCGCGATGCGATCGTCCCGCGCTGCCCGGGTTGGCGCAGCTCTGTAAAACAAGGAGCGTCATTCCGTCTCTCCTCTTTAAGATCTGGCACCTGTTATGTTGTTCCGGTACGCCAGCCCCATCCGACAACAAGTTCAGCACGTGTTGCAAAATAGTTGTCGGCCGGGAAGCTGGCCGTGGCGCGCCTTAGCTGCTGCGCGGTCCCCGCTGGGCTGCGGATGGCCGCCGCGTCGGGCGGGGCGGGCCCTGCAGGGGCCGAGTTCACCGCCTGCTGAAAGCAACGCGCGTTTTGCCGCGGTGAGTAGCTGATGTGTGTCCTTGTAGTCTTCGGCTACGGAGTTGAGAGTGTTTGAACTTCGGCTTTTAAACGAAGTAACGCTGTTTTTAGCGGGCTCGGCGACCTGTAAGGGTCCCTTCTGGCTCAAGTGATTCTGTGATGATTCTGTGACATTTGTAAGCCAAGCACCTGTTTTTTAGACTCACCGGGTTATTTTTTAACTTCTGTGAGTTTCATCTGCTTGATAACGTTCTTCGATCAATAAATTTGCGTTACAAAGGAAATTGGATCGGGTTTGCGCGTGCTCTCACATCTGCTGTTAGTGACATTGATGCATGTTAAAGCTAATGAGCAAACAGAAGATGGAGCAGCGGGCCCTGCTGTGCCAAGGGCTTAAATAAAATTTTGCCAAGGGTAAATAAATAAATAAATAAATAAATCTGAAGATTGCACCCTTGTAAGGAACTACAAAGGAACAATAGAAGGGCACAGCAAATAAGATTACTGTGTGCTAATAAATTGATGTGAAACCCTTCGTAAATGTAAAAGCAGAGGAGCGCATCTTAAACTATGAGCACAGGAGCATCAGGGGGAGTTGGGTTAGTACAGGAAGTGAGTGCTATGTATGCAGGTAAAGCTGTGATTCGCTAACAGGGGAGTTGTCACAGCTTCATATGTTGCTGTGTCCTCTGAGCTGCTGTGACTTGCTGCACACTGTCTCTTCACACACAACAGATCCAAAGGTGTCTGCTTTAAAGCATAAGAACAGCCTTCAGCTTTTATTTTGGTTGTGGCAGCCTCTGGATGGATGTGTTCTCAGTTGCCACGCTGCCTCTGACCCGTAGTATCTCAATGCAATAATATGCCACTCAAGAATATAGAAGTATTTTTAACCATTTTCAATGTAATCTTATTGCAAATCTGGGAAAAGACAGGAGAAGCATACCTAAATGAGTATATGTATTCCTGGGCTTACACAGCTGTAACTGTGCTGTTTTAAATTCGCACCTCTGGTATGCCAATGAGTATCCTGAGCGAAACCCTCCCTCAGGACCTGTTTGCTGTGGTTCTGCACTTTCATGTACATTCTAGGCTCAATACTCCATGTTTTTTCTAACCTATAATAGTATATCTGAATAAAATTTCACATAATCTTGGGTCGCTTCTGATAGGATGTGCCACAAAGACTATGAAACTTGAGATAAATTACCACGTCAGCTTGGGAAGAAAATCCACCCAGTTTGGTGAGTTCCTTTCAATTAATGTGTATATGTGTCAGCACAGCAAGAGCAAGGAGAGGGATGGGAAGTGTTGCAACATGCCTTTTTTGTGCTCTTGATGTTGATTTATGGCTATTTCAGTGTGTAGGTGAAAGGCTATTCTAAAAGGGGACAGGGCTAGAAAGCAGGGTGACATCATATATTCCAGACCTGTGGTTATCAGGCAGTTGGAAGGGTGGATAGGCTGCATTATATCTCCTTGGTAGAATGGCTGAGAGTTCTCTTCTCCCGTTGGAGATTGCCCTTTGCTACAGAATGCCAAGCTGCTCTGTGTAGCCACTGGAATGCTAGCTGCAGGTGGGGCCTTCAGGGTGGCACTTGGAGGCTCTCAGAAGGTTGGCTGTACATTCAGTCACCACAGCCTTGTCAGTAGCCTTTCTTTCCTCTCCGCAACCATTTCTTCCTGCCTTCTGCAGCAGCTGAATGGAGTTTAAGCTGCGTCCATCCCTGCTATTTCAGCACAAAGCCATGGTGCATGGAGGTGTGCAGAGGCTGCGTGCTGGGAAGCAGCTGAAGGGACTCACAGGTTCTGCTCTGCTGCCTGTCTTGGAGGGAGGAAGAGCGCACAGATGCGATTTTGTGGCTGGATTCCCCGAGGCCCATTTGCTAATAGGAGGAGCTGTGGAGGCAAAGCTGAGGTGTGTGTCATTCTGTCTGTCATTCTGCTTGGATGGCTGAAATACGGGAGAGATAACAAGCAAGATAGAGGAAAAAGAGGATATGTGAAGTTGTGCTATTGCTGCAGCTGTTTGCTGAGGATGCTTTTGCCTCTGGGTGTCCTGAGAAGCTTTTAAAGGAAGTCAGTGTTGTTTGGAAGAGTTTTTTGTTACGCGTTACTGCTTGTCTGTTCACTTTCTGTTTGTTTGCTAACAAACTGCCTTGTGTGAACTGAGGAAGATGTCTCTAAATGGCCAGGGAAGCTCTTCCTGACCACATTTATCGTTAGTTGTTTGTGACACTGCTTTCCTGTTCAGAGCACACAAGTGGATGAGAACTCCCTTCCTGAGCACTGGTAGTAAGAAATGAGACATGAAACTGCAGAAATAACCTCCTATGAATCTATCTGTTGCTATGAGTATGGAGCAAGCCTTGGAAAGAGATGGTTCCATCACTGAGGTGCTTGTGAACAAGTGACCATTTTCATTTCTGTGCATTTGTGATTACTGCTTTCCATGCAAAACCCCACTGTCTCATCACTGCTGCCCTGAAAGGTGGGCTGTGATTCTTTTGGCAAAACACATCTTTTCAGTTGTCGTGGTCTTAAAAAAGGTACTGTATGGAAGTGAAATCAATTCCTTGTTCTCTGAGTGTTTTGCCTGCATGGGAAAGGCTTTTAGCCTTTCTGCTACTTGGTTGGCTTAGTGAGAGGAACATGGAAAGCCAAAGCTCCTCTCCAGAAGGCTTACCTATAGGTAACGCCTGTGGATTCACCGTGGGGTGGGAAGTGCTCAGAAATTGATGTGATTATTTCTTGCTGCCTGTGCAGAGCCACTAAGAATGGGGTAAGCAGGTGGTGCACAACTCAAGTTGTTCTCTTCTTTGCCCTGAACTACTTCTAAAACTCGTGGCAAGCTGTCATGGCAAGTATTTTCCAACAGTAACATAGTTAAAGAAACAAGTTGTACCAGAAGAGTGTTCTTTCAGTTTGGTTCTGCGTGGAAAGATGTGATGGAAGTTTTCTCATGGAATCAGTGCATTTGTGATGAGGTTGTTATCGCTACAGGGATTACAAGAGTGGTGAGGTGAACAGTAGCCTCAGGCCAAATGATTTTAAGAGAGATTTAAGTACGTCAACATCTAGTTATGAGAAGAACTTGGAATTATTCAATTAGACAAAACTATAGATAACAGCAGTGTTTTTTGTCTGTCTTTTTTGTTTGTTTTATTTTTAAGCAAGATTTAGAAGTGAAGGTGATTCATTAAGCGTGGATGGAAGCCATGTTAGGGGTGAATTTGATTGATCTTCCAAATCCCATTCATGTGGGTGGGAAGGAGAGTGTCCAAGTGCTGAGAATCATAAGGTTATTTTCTCCTAGGTTCTGTGCTAACCCTGCCTAATGGGTAAGACTTAATGAAGCAAGTAAGGACAGCAACCTTGAAAAGCTTGTGCTGGCAATGCAGTCTCAAGGAAGAATGGAAATAAAAACCTACTTAGGAGCAGGGAAAAGAGGATAAATCTATTGGCACAGGGGTATCCATTGATCAAAGTATTAGAGAAGCGACACTAACGCTTATAAATGAGGTGGAAAAATTTCACTCGTGGCTTCCCAGCTTAGTGCTTGGAATTGTGCTTCAGGCAGTGGCTAGTATAGAACTGTGTTTTCTGTAACTGAATATTGTAGGAAATATTCAGGTAACTGCTCCAGAGGTAACTGCTGGAGCTGTAAAGGTCAGATCCAGTTGTGCCCACATGTGAAAAGTACAGGGTTTTGGAATGAGAGGTAGAGATTGACATAGAAAATGTTACTGCTGCGCCTTGTGCTCTCCAGGAATATATCTGTTATTAGAATATATCAAAGCATCTGCCCAGGAACCAGAGGCTAGAATTAGGTCAAGAATTATGTCTAATAATCGCATTGCCTTCTTTTAAGTAAACCAAAGTAACTGAGGAAGAGAGGAAAAATGGAATAAGAAATAAAATGGAGCAGAGAAAGATTTTAATTCATGCCAGCTACAGCAGAAGCCCTCTGAATTCACCCCCTCCTAACAATTCTCCTCAGTCTTTTATCCCATAGAAATCCTCTCGCATCCCTTTCCTCCTTGCCTGTGAGCTGCTCATATATGGAGGCAACCTGCACAGCATGGAATCTCACCTGGTGCTGTCAGGGAGGACTGTCCTCTGGATTGTCAGACCACAGAGGAGTTCCCAAATGCTGTTGATGCAGATTTTTATGTGATAGAAAGCATGTCTCAGTGTCCAGAATGTGTTTGCATATAGAGTACTATACTTGAGTACTGTTTTAATCAGTAAATTCAGAACATAAGCCTAATACAAACTCTTTGGAAGATCATGTTGCTTGTGC